AGAATCAGAACAGGATTATAGCTCACTCAACGTAAGGGTTATAAGTCAAGAAGAGGAGGAGGAGGAGGAGAAGGAGAAGAAAAAAGCGGAGCATGAAAGGAATATAGAAGCAGAGAGCGATCAAGAGGCTGCCTCAAAGAATGCAGATGAGCTCATACCTGCAGAGTGCACGGTTTCTACAACAAAAGCCTTGACAATCTTCAGCTGTGACGCGACGGAAAGCACAAACATTGTCTCTTCAACGTGGTCAGATGATTGTCAACCGAAGCAGGACAAGACAAATCTGATTGGGGATAATCGTGGCGCCGATGCTGAACTGCCGGTTCTGGGACAGTTTCAATCTATCGAGGCGTCTACAGCAACCGGACAAGCAGACACAGGCAACGAGGAGGCGGTGTTGGAGACGAACGAAGAAGCGTATAACGCACAAGACTTTAGTCTCACCATCACGAGCCAACAGGACCCGATTTCGTCGTTCACCCTTTCTTCCGGCTTCATCACTGCGGATACCAATCAAGAAGCCAGTGCTTCCGCCCAGCGAATGCCGACGGATGCCGGCCAGTCGAAAAAGACGACAACAACCAATCGAGACTTGGAAGCCACTAAATTGGTCCCGAGTCTGGAGCCGCAGTGCCCTCAAGAGACTGTTGGAGCCTCCAGGACCGTGATTTCCGCCGTCTGCCAAGAGGTCGACCGACTTGATAAAGAAAAACAGTCAAAGTTGGCTTCGTCACAAGGCGGATTATCCCATCGGCCTAAGGCCTCGTTGGTATGTGCTTCGATCAGCCCAAAGCATGTGTTAAAGCTGGCCAAAGTGTTTGCAGAACTGAATTTGTCCACTCGAGAAAGTAGTCATTCATCCGAAAGACCCTTTCAACGGTCCTCCTCTCCACAAACCGACGTACAACCAGCCTCTATCGTACCAACCGAACAGACTTCTCAGATTCTGGCAAAGCAAAAATTGGTGGACGAAGCCACCAGTTCGATTGACGCCAAGACGTCTACGGTTGGAGAGTTGCGCAAGAAATATGAAGATGTTGCTCTTCCGGACGTTAGCAGATTGCAGCCACTCGATCGCATCTACCCTTGCCGACCCGATCGGTGTCCTGACGCCTTGACGACTGTCATTCCCTCTTCGGTCGTCAAGGGGGACAGTCAAGAAAGGCAGCTTCCGGTGAAACGCGAATTTTTCGATTCTCGCACCAAAGACTCAAATGACATTTGTGCGTCAAGAGAATTCGGGCACAGCAACAGCTCGACGCCGCCGTTGCCATTGCCCCCTCCGCCTCAGTTCATCGACGAGGAGGAGGAGGAGGAGGAGGCGTTTTCTGTCCTGAAACCGGCCAGCAGCTGCCGGTCGGTCTGGCACCAGC